CCTCTGATTTCCCTCTTGTTTCTCCCCCTTTGTCTTGTCACTTTAATTTCACTGCTTTTACTGTCTGGAATTGATTGGTATATATATATATATATATATAAACGCCAAACCATTTGAAAGATTGATCTTAGCATTGTTTTTTTCACTGATTATGAACGTGAAAATGCGTTCGTGGCCTGAAAATCAGAAAATGGTGGATCAGACGATTGCAATTACTTGTAGATGTGCTTATTCGTCTGGCGCTAGCCCTTGGTGCTGTCATTTCAATGTAGGAATATATTGCAGACAAAGTTTATGGATAATATATATTAACATCTAATTTCATTAGTAAATGAGCTGATATTCCAATCATATAAATGGGTGAAACCTTAATAGATTACTATTCTAGTGCTGTGGAGTTTCATCTTCCACTTTCCTTGTTTGTCAGAAGGTACTCAGATCACTCAGTTACATGTAGTAACGTTCACATGAGCCATCACGATTGACATGTCATTTTAGATACAAAATTAGGGGATTTGCATGATCAGCAATTTGTTTCTATGAATATAAGTGAAAATACAGGGTTGATGTCAACCGAAACTTTATTTTAACAAATGTTATTTATTTAGTAGAAGTTATTTTCATTGCACAATGAGCTTAGTTGATGGATGGGGTGAAAGATTAGTGTTCTTTTATTCTAAAGTCTTATTCTTCTCTCTTCTATGCATTTATGTCATATAATTTATGTTCTTGAAAAAGATAAAGATCCATTTATATTATATAAAATTCGTTCAAAGGTAAATAAGACGATGAGATAGAGAAATATATACTTACATGCGTACGTATTTTTGTTAAGCCAACTAGTTCAATGAAATGTAAATGTCAAACTACAAAATGGCTAATTGATTACCACCATAGAATATAGGCATTTTTACGCATATCTACTCCGTTGATATAATCAAAGGGAACTTTTCTTAATTAATGTGGCCGACAGGACATATATGGTTGCCAAAGGGGTTGGGTCACCCCTTTTGGATTTTGTGATTAATAACCGAGGCATCCACTCTTAAGTTTTAAGTATCCAATGGGACTGTTTGAGAACCTTCTTTTCCCTTTTAAGTGGTGACCCGAGGTGATCTATACATTGATGTTACTAATTGTGATTTATTACATTATGTAATTGATCCTGATATGCTTTAAATTATACAAATAGGGACCCCTTTGTGAGAAAATATAAAAAAAGAAAGGTTATGTACAAAGCATTACCTTTCAGATGTCACTATATTCATACCTAAGATTATGTTGGAAAGATATGTTATTTAATGCTGAAAGTGTGGTCAATAAAATAGCAAAAAAAAAAAGGCCTAAATTGAATGAGTAGTCACAATTAACTTTTTTATTGTTATTTCCCGTAACTTTAGGGACGAGACATAAATTTCATATTAAGGGCCTCAAATATAAGTGTGTTTGTTTTTTTTTTAGATAAATTCCTCATATTATTATCTAAGAAGCAGTAGAACTCACTGCTACAACAATACAATACCCAAAAACAGCACCCACCTCCTAGGAGGAGCTAATTCCCCAAGCTAGGCAAATATCCCTGTTAACTACGCTACTCTTTAGGGCTATACGAACAGATTTCATCCTAACAATCTCTTTAATACAATTCACAATGTTATCAACACCTCTGCTTTTACCCCTAAATTGCCTATGATTTTTTTCTTCCCATATACAATATACATATGCACACCAGGCTATTCTAAGTATAAAAACAAGAAAAGTTTTGCCCTTAAATCTAGAGATCGCCCAGCTTAATTCCTCATCCCAGCTTCCCACTGTTCTAAGTATGTTTGTTTTATTGTCTTTAAAAATTGATTTTTTAATCATATTTATTTATACTAATAATATCATTTCCAAATTTCAAACTTAAACGTTGGTTTATTTTTAGTATTCCCAGACTTCAGCATATCTAGCTCTACTCCATAATTCATTGCAATTCCATTGAAACTTTATATTAGATATATTTTAATTTTCAGAGTTTAGGATTTTTTTATTCTTCTAATTTTATGTAATTTTTTTAAAAAATTTCTTTTGGTTTTCTAACTTGTTTCGAAGTGGAAATAGAACAAATGGAGGGGCATATGAGGAGTTTTGTCATGTGAAAACGGTACAAAAATGGAGGCAATAGAAGCCAAAGGTTGATGATAGTAAGCCCCAAATTTACCTTCCCCATAAGCCTATATGTGATCAATACTTATGCATGCTATTTCTCTGAACCCCACCCTCTCGGCTATGCTAAGGCCGACCCCTCCATGCACATTTCTCAGATCCCTTCACGTTCCAAATGTTACAAATTACACACTTTTAAAATTTTGAATTAACCGAACATCAACACATTCGAATACATATATTACATATGTAAAATATATACATTACTCAACAATACATACGTACAGGATGATACAGGTAGGTATATACATTACATACCTAAATTATATCAGTAGAGAAGTACGAGATTCCTTCATCCAACGGTGAATGGGATGATGGGACATCCGGATTTTGACGAAAATAACAGTACATGAGATTGGACCCAGCATCCACGTGCACACCTGTCACCCATGTCCACTCCTTTACAGTCAAATATTTTTAAATAAAATAATTCTGATATATAATTACATGCTCATATTGTATAAAATCATTGCATGGGGGCCTCCCTTGAAAGAGTAAAGCAACGGTAATCAACTGGCAGTATACGTCTGCAGCTCTCTCTCTCTCTATATCAGTCTCAGTTTTGTTTTTGTTTCGTCTTCGTCAGTTCTTTTCGGTAATGGAGCTTTAACGTAGCATTTTTAGAGACATGGCTTCCACTACTCTCTCACTCATCTCAGTGTTTACAGCTAAATTAAGGGGCTTCCCCCTTTTTTGTGGTACGGTCATCTCTTAACTTTGAATTTTGCCTTCTTGGTTTAAACAACATTCAAAGATGACCACAGTCGTAGTAAGTTTGAATGGCAACCATGGGAGTTGTCAAGCAGCTGAAACATCAGTTGGTAGGGGTCTATACATTCGTTTTCCAGCTTTCAATTGGCATTTGCATCTGAACCCCCCCAAAGATAACGATAGCAGACAATATTTAACTGTTTCTGCTACATCTCCACCACTCCATCAGTGTTACAGCTGCTGTCCTACTGCTTTGCCCTATATATATTATGATTCTAGCTATGAAAACCCTCAACTGCTTTATGTTTTTATATATAAAAAAACCTTTGAGATTTGAGAAAAAGGCCAGAAAAAATTGATTGTCGGCATGGAATCTGGTTTTTTTGGGATGTGACCCAACACCTTTTAAACTACGAACAGTACTGACAGAAAATTCCAACCCTAGCCATGTTACCCTTTTTTAATTACGAGTTTTCCTGCAGTAAAATGTATCTATATGTGGGTGCATGGAAGATGGCACGTAGTAGTAGGTGAAGCATTGTAGCAACTAGAGTGGTCTCAGAAAATAGTTGCTTTTTGGAAGGGATCTTTGGTGAAATTGTTGCGGGTAGCAGGGACTAAACAGTGAGCTAGCGAAGAGAGTGAGGACCACCGGTGGTAGCTAATTATGATTAGTACATCAAATAAAAATGTGCGTGTGAAGTTTGGCTGAATTTGAAACTTCAAAGTTCAAACTTTGTGGTCAGCACTGGTCTCCATGCTTGCTCGTTACTATTACAGTACTATTATTATGCAACCGGCTTTTAATCTGAAGTACGTGTATAAATGGTTTAAATAATTCCAGGTTTCGATCATATAATATCCAATAATAAAGATGCGGTCGATAGTGTAAAATATTGAATGTTTATTTGTGATATGAGCCCAATTCATTGGGCCACTATAGGTCTAGCGCTCTTTCACAGCCCTTCAGGATTACAAGAAAAACCTCTTATGATACGTCTGGATGAAAAATATATAATCAAGCTCTGTGATCTAAGTTAAGTCTTGCCCACGAAATACATAATTAAGTTCTTCAATATGTAACTTCAAGTCTCATGAACTAATCAAGCCATCTTAATAATAAAAAGAAGTATTATTTTTTAGAGACCACGAATTCAAATAAACACATTTACATATTGTGTTTTTCATAATTCATATATGTTAAAACAACTCTAGAAACCCACCAACATAAGGATCACTTGAATGACGTACCAAGCGTAATTAAATTATGCAACCTCGAAAGAAAGAAAAAGAAGAGATATAATTGCATTATTGTTGATAAGAGATGATGACTCTTGTATTTTTCTCAAAAATGATTGTATATGATATGTATTATACAGATGTTTCCTTCACCCATCTATCACATGTGGAAATATAGCTAACAATTATTATTATTTTTTGTTTTGACAAGCAATGAACAAAACTCTGGGAATATATATATATATATATATATATATATATCCACCAAACACAATTTTTGTTTTTATTACACCAACTAATGATTGATGTCTTGTTATATAAATAATTATTTATTGATATGAGTTATATGCAAGTGAAGTCCACGTGAGAATGTGTAAATTCACAAGTTTCTAATAGATATTATATTATATTTACATAATTAAATTTAGAGTAATATACGATATTGTAATGTACGTTTAGTTGTATTTGTTTAAAGTTTTAATAAAAGAATATATTTTGATCGGTAATAAAATAATATATATATATATATATATATATATATATATAAATTAATTAATCAATACTAGCTAAATTAAGATAGTATAAATATTTTTAAAAAAAATAAAAATAAATTTAATAAAGCAATTTTTTTGTACAAAGAAGACCAGTGACGAATTTATATATGCTTTATATAAATAAAAGTTTTTACAATGCCACTGATGTATTAAAAAAAAAACATAAACCCTAAACTAAAAATCAACCCACAATCTTCTTGCATCCGTTTGAATCGTCAAAGGCATGCAAACACCAAACCAACATCACAAAACAACTAATGGATGGTAAATTCTTTGTTTCTTTTCCTCTTTTGTATTCAATAAACTTCATAATAAAATCATACTATTATCAATCCCGAGTCTCACATCGTCCACGTTGGAAGCCACCCCATGAATAAACTCATGATGATGATCACCCAAGTTGTTTTCATCCATGTTCATATTCCACAAGAACTCATAATCATCGTCGAATTTTGAGCTAATTTCATTGATGTATCGATTATCGTTGTTGTCGTTGTTGTCTTTCTCGTGATGAGAATTATATTGAAGCAGGTTCAGCAAGTTTTGGCCATGGCCTTGATGGGGTGGTTTACTGGGTAAATACCCACAAGCCATAGTAGTTTGGTCGATTAAATAAGGGGCATGAATTGAGGGCTCCAACATCATTTGGGAGCTCAGCCTGGTGCTGTTCTCTCCTCCTTTGCTCTTGTGGAACACTCTACATAGAACCCAGTCCTCCTGTCATATTAAAAATAAAAATCGAATAAGAATATAAATATTAGAATGGAAATGAACAAGTCGAGTTGTGGAAGATAGAGATGAATCGAGGGATGTGTTGGGATATGATCGTACCTTAAAAATTTTAAATCTCTAAATAGTTTAAATATATTTTCTTTTTCTGTATAGTGTAAATATACTATAACAGTTTACGATTTCTAATGGGAACCCTAAATTTTCATGCGTGCAAGTTCATCTTCTAAACTTAGTGACACATATACGTATCAATAGTTCCTTCCAATTTGGGTCGAAGACAAGCCCCAATCATCTATCTATTTAATCATAATCACATGATAATTAAGCACTTGATTATGAGAACACATGAAAATGGAACGAATAATAAGTGGACAACTTGTATATATAGATTATTCCCACTTTGCTTTTTCCTTAAGTTTCCTTAGAAAAAACACTCTTATTTCTATTTCTCAAATTCACATACACATTGGCTGCAATATGTGAACCTCTCTTTACCCTAAATCTCAATCTCTCACTTCCAAAGGTCATTTTCAAGTAACATACATATGAACAGACATGTGATATGAGTATACAGTTGAAAAGAAAGAGATGAGAAAATGTGACCTTAGGAGGCATGTGTGGGGACTCAAGCCGAAACTCATGCATGATCCAATCTGATTTAATTCCGTTCGGAGCACGGTTTCGGTAAAACACCAATGTTTTTCTCATCCCTACAATCTCTTGGGTTCTCGGGTCGACCACCGTCCGATCCTTCCCTGTTGCTTTCCAGTAACCGGATGTGGTTGCCCGGTTCGTACGAAACCCGGTCGCGTACTTTCTGTCTCGAAAATTAAAGAAGTACCACTCGTTTGCGCTCAACTTTGCCGCCTCTTTAATTTCATTTCAAGTTTCCATGCACACACAAATTATAGAGTTAATTTATTTTGCTTTTCCACCATCTCTAACAGCTATAACATGGAAGATGACAGTGGCACTGCATACTCAGAAAGTGATCAAAGGAAGAAAATCTCAAAACACCTGATCGGAGAAAATGAAAAAAAAAAAAGAGAGACCTACCGGGAAGCTGCCATGGCTCGCATGTATGCAAATCAATCTCCACCAAAGTACCCTTCAACACATCCTCGTTGGCTATCTTCTTGTAGAGATAATGGCAGACCAATTCTTCATCGCTGGGATAGAACCTAAACCCTGGAGGCAGCGTTGCCCCAATGTCCCTCAACCCCATATTTATGTTGTTAAAAAGCAAAAGGAAAAAAGAAAAGGTGGTGTGTTCCTTTGAGATCTTTGCTATGAAGAGAGAAAATGATTGAATAAATTTAGGATAAGAGGTGGAATCAAAATGAATTAAAAGAAATAATATATATATACAACTAGTTTATGATCATGACAAATTAAGTACCTTTGCCATTTAAAATATCTTAGCAATATTCTATAATATATATATATATATAGGGACCAGTCATGCTTGTATTGCCAGTTAGTTATAATTGCGAAGTTTCAAGAAAAACCAAAGTTACAAGAAAGCTTAATTTATTTGTCGGGGATTTTAGCAAATATTAATTATATTTATATATGGACAAGACCCAAAAAGAAAAAAAAATATTTTGAAAAGTTCCAAACCAATCCTTTTTATCTCTGATTTTCGAATGGATTAATATTTATGTAAAATAATGAATACCCATTATATAAATACGAGGAGTATTTGAGGTATATACAAGCTAGGGTATTTTAACAATATATATTTACTTCAAATGTGTAATTAAACTAATTTAAACTTATAATTTGTATATAACAATCCCTTTAAAAGAAATGAAATGATTAATCAAATCAAGTATTATTCATGGTCATTATCATTTGATTCGAGAACAATTCGAAGAATATTGCTAGTGCTCCGTAATTAATTAGAAGGAGACAAAAGTGCTTGATTTCATTGGCTATAATAATAATGGATAAAAAAACAACATATGATTAATTATTATTTTTAATAATTTGAGAATAATAAATATTTTTTAAGATAATTTTTAGTGCCACGCATGTGTTATTTAAACTCTTCATAAATTTAATATATAAATTATAAATAATAATTAATTAATGGAATAATTACATCAAGGGGGCCATATCATCCTACATCTATGGAAAGGGCTAAAAAAACCTTGTGTCCCCGACCACGTGAGCCAACAGATTGCCCTTAGCGATAACAAAGACAACTCACGGAAATAAATAAATAAATTTAATTGCTGGAATAATATTAATAAAATGAAAAATGTTATTATTAGCAACTAATAATCGTCGACTTCCCCTCCTATGATCTGTTCAGTTCTGGATCACATAAAGAAAACAATAAGTGGGCGTGATGACTTGTCTTTGATCTGGGTCCCACTAATGACGCACGATATCGGACCCCATCTTTTAAAAAGAAATTGAACATTTATAAATTATCGATATTGTTTAATTACATAAAAGTACATAAATTACATTATTTGTAGAAAGACATTTCGACTCGAACAGAATGTAGAGATATTTTTCCGTTTTATAGAGGTGTAACTATAAAATTTATCTTGATGTTTATAAATTTCAATAAATAAGTCATTACTGTTATTTTTATTTAAATTTTGTTATCAACCTAACAAAAAGTAAATTTTCAATTTTTATCCCTAAAAAATGAGTAGTTAGTTTTTTTTATTAGTCTAGACAATGTTATATTTATTCGAAATACTATCAACCGATCATTTAATAATAAACTCTCATACACTCTTACAGATAGGGATAGGCATGGGATCCGAATCCGATGGGTTCCGACCCGACCTAACCCGTTCGGGTCGGGTTTTTTAAAATCGGGTTCGGATCGTGTCAATTTTTTAATGTGATGTTCGGTCAGGTCGGGTTCGGGTTTAGGGTGAAAAATATCCGACCCTAAAAAATATATATGATTTTACCTTATATATTTAGGAATAATTATAATAATATCCCTCTATATATTGTTTTTTACAATTAAGCCATTGTTTTTATTGAATAAAAATAATATTTTTTATTATGTCGGGTTCGGTCGGATTTTTAAGTTATATATCGAGTCAAGTTCGGGTTGGATGGAATCTTGTTTTGGTCAGGTCGGGTCGGATCTCAGGTGGAGGATTTCTTGTTATAGGGTTGGGTGGGGTGGACAAAAAACTTGACCCAATCTGACCTATACCCATCCCTACTTAGTACTTACAGACGATGTGTTCGAACCTAGAACATCTAATAATAATCATCATCTTTTTAACCACAAAAATCTCTTTGATTTGTGCTATATATAAATCATATTTACTACACACAAAAGTAAAGTGGTTTAGATATTCATTATTATAGAAATAAATAGATCAAAATAATTAATATACGAAGAATAATATTTCATGCTTCCTAAATCAATTATAAATAATGATTAAAGAATATAAATTCAAATAATATTTAAATCTATAAGATAATTCGTATATGGACAAGTAATCAAATGAATACTACGTCTTATTATATTCTTGAACAAAATGAGGACAAGAAGGATGTTTTGTTCAACATGTGTTATGTTATAGCAATAATAATGAAGATAGATCGTATATATAGTAAATGATGAGTGGATTGGGTTCACCTACACTTATGTTCCATGCAGTTTATAATAATGAAGGTTGTCATATTAGTGTTGGGTATTTGATCAGTGCAATAAGACAATATATATATATTCGACACTAGAGCATGAAAACTGGACATTTCACCGCAACAATGGAAACATTGCTCGTGAATTCGGCAATCCATGAGAAAAAGAGGAAAAGTTTGGTCCACGTCTTTCTCTCATTCCATCCTATTCACCCAAGAAATTATTATATGAATCGGATTCATCACGTCATCCATAGTTTCAATCAATAAAATCTATTCATCCCGAAATAATTTTTAAATAACTAGAATTACAAATAATATATTGAACCGATTTCATCTAATATTTTTTCATATTCACCCACCTTGCTCCTTTCAATCTCTCTAATTTCAACACTCGTATCTTTGTATGAAACGTAACCAAAAATTTTGGGTACATGGCTTATTTTAGTATTGAACCGTAAGCATGTAACTTTGTTTTTTAAACTGAAATAGATTAAATTAAATAAATTAATATATTTTAATATGAATAATTTATACCTAAAATCTCAACTAGATCTCGACGCCTACAAGGTGCATCGAAGACCATCACATTCCAAAGTCAAAAGTAGGTCACGGAGTTTTCCCATTCATAAGATATGAGCATATATACCTGCTTCAAGCAAGCTTATATAAATACTCTAGTAATAATAAATAATAATATTATGTAATTATGAACCTATTAAATGATTTATATGGTTAGATCAAATATTATTTTTAAAAGGTTTTAAGTTCAAATAATTGCGTATGTACACACGTGTATATGTTATTAATAATTAAATAAAATTCTAAATAGATACTATTAGGTTATCTTATAATCACTTTATATTATTAAAAAAATATTATACAATTATTATTATTATTATTTCTTTTAAATACCTAAATTCACGGGGACGTCTAAACGTTGGCTCGGGACGTATGATCCGCATCAGTCGGTACACGTCATAATGCGAGGATGACATATAGACTATTCGAAAAGGAAATCATGGAGAGAAAAGAACCCTAGCAATGGGAATTAAAAAATATTTATTTCAAATGCTTCTAAAATAAGATAATGATTCAAAATTATTGTTAATCTCTAGGGTTTGGGGTTTTCTTTTTCAAAGATGAAACACTAGATTTAAAATAAGCATTGTAAAAGAGAAGTATATGAGAAAATCGATCAGTACATGAGAAGGGGTATGAATAACTGAAACACCATTACCACCATCCTGCATATCAGTAGAAGTTTCACTAGAAATTAACTTTAACCTGTTCCCTGTGAGCATTTCTTAATGAGATTCACTTCCATGACATCCTGCTCCTTAACACCGACACGTGTCGAATTTGCAACTTGCCACAAATCCCATCTTCATTATTCACGTCGGTACCTTCTCATGCATGGCTGATGTAACATGGTTGCTGCCTTCATGCAACCCACTAATTGCTTTCTCTTTTGAATTTTGCATGAGCATCAGACCAACTAAAATTGATTCATTCTTATCTTGATCTTTTGCACCCTTATTCGCGTGAGAAGAGCTTGTATCACTTTCAATTATCAGAGAATCCTTAGGTTATTTGCAAGTGAAAATATAATTAATAATATAAGATAAGTATAAGAATTAAGATTAATGTGGTTTGATCTTGTCTACATTTAAGGATAAAGGAAAGAAATGATCAACTATACATATATAAATCTTAATAAAATGATACATAAAATATAAATCTTGTCTACATATATAATACGTATTGGATTTCTTCAAATTTGATGGGATATTAATTCCTTAATACGTATCTTTATACCAATATATCATCACCTCGTAAAATTTCAATATCCCGCAATTATATTTACTTTCGATATTAATTACGTGGAGTGTCAACTGAGTCATCTACACATGTGTCGGAACCCAGGTTGAGTGTCAACCGAGTCATCTGCACATGTGTCGGAATACCAAGTGGGTTTATCAAATGTGCATGCGCCACTTGTTTTTTTAGTTTAGCAACGGTTTAGCGGCATCTTAATCATTACATTAGTCAACACACGCGCCTTGTAATGATTATAATAATATTTGTATTAAATTCTTTAATTTGATTTGGCTTATTATACATATAAATAACCTATGCATGATGCATCTATATTTACGCGTACAACTATTATAAAATAAAATATTATTATTTAGAATTTATCACTTATTTCGGTAATAAAAACGATTATTGTTATTTCTATAAATCACAAACTTAAACAATTACGCTTGTAAGATATACGTACATATAAATATATTAAAAAAGCTTTTGAACATATATAAAATTATAATCATTATTTAAAAATACTATGATTAACTTTATTGACAATAATTTTACTAATAAGTGATTCAAATATATGGACTTGTCTAACTATTGCATTTAGTACTACATTATTAATATAAAAGGTAAATTACATGTTTAGTATATAAATTATTAATTTTGTTTCATTTTAGAATCTAAACTTTCATTTGCTTGAAAAACATATATAACGTTTACTTTTTGTTTCATTTTAGTAGTTCACCGTTAAAATTTTAACACAATTACTGCACGTGACATTCTTTTATGGGTCAATTATATTATTATCACTTAACTATCTTCTCACTCCTATTTTGATCACCAAAGTTTAAAAAAAATCATTTTAACTGCTCAACTTTCAAATTGCTCATGTTTTATTCACTCTAGTTTATTTTATTAAGTAATCATTTTTGTGACATGGCATATTTTTATT